AAATAAAAAATTCGTCGTGGCAAAATTAGTCTCACATGTTTCTTGATGTTGTCCAGATAAAATTCGAAGTTTGCCAGCATAAATTTGGAGTAAATGCGGGGGCTCACGACCTTGGGAAGCCTTCACCAATTGTCCGGAAGTTTCTTGAGATAATCTGCAAGCTGCATCTAGGGCAGCCTCACGATCTACACTCGTAGAATGCGCCCCTTCCCAGCAATAGATCTGATCAAAATGAAATATGAGTAAATACTTGAAGGTGATCGTGGATAAAAAAATATTTTGATAAATAATTACAATTGTTCGTTCTCTTCTTCCACTTCCGTAGCAGTACTTCATCACGTAGCAAAGCCCAGCGAAGTAAACGCCAGCTAGTGCTCCGTGCTCGTTGACTTCTTTCATCCCATCCTTTTTTGAAATCCTCCAGAGAGTTCTTCTTCCGCTTCCATCGTCAACCAGTTGACACTCAGCAGCCATCTTCGGTCTTTCTGTCATGTACTCGGGGTCGAAGCAAGGGGGAAGTGTTAGGGGTCGTGTCTTCACTACGTCCCAGCTTCTCAACAGGGTTTTCAGCTCCGGTGGCTCTTCACCTTCTAGTGCACGAGCCACTGGAACGCAACTGCTGTACCCCTTTTTCTTCACAAAACCCCGGGCATTTCGCACTGCCTCCAATTTCTCTCGGGCGTCTACTTCACGACCAACCCATGCCCAGACACCAGTCTCCCCCTGGACGATCATAAAATCAGGAATTTTTTAAAAAATCTATTCTACCTGTCAGTGAATATTTAATTAAAATCGGAAATTCAGGTACACAAATGAATATAAATACAAATAAAATTGAACTACAAAAATTTTTCGGGATTTCCAGTGAAACCTAGTATTCTGAAAATCGAAATGAAACTGTCCATTAAATATTGTTTCACTGAAAAATTAAATTCAGACTTCAATCGAGAATTTTTATAATTACTGCATAAAAGAAAAAAATATCAGCATTAGTACCCGATCGATTAGGAAGACAGCACTCGATATTAAATCGCCTCTAAAAATCGGTCCAGCCTTGAGTTCCGCCACTTTGTACTTTCCCGATTGTTCACAACATTTATACAATTTGATCGGCGAAGGCTGAGAAATTTTCCTCGGAGGCTGTGGCAACACCGAGCGTTCCCTCGGGTCCAAAATGCTATCAAAAATTCGTTTTTCATCTCCACGAAGTGTCTGCTCATATCCATCCTCAACGATCACCACTCTCACGTTGTTATTCTCCTTCCGATCATCGAGATATCGCAATGCATGTCTTTTGTGCAGCGAGCTGGAGCCTGATCCTAGCCACAGGAAGACGAGGCCTCTAGTCTGGATATCCAGCAGCATCACGTCGCTGGATGAAAAATCCTCCCAAGAGAGGGTCTCCAGCTCGGTGAGGATCGGCACTGACAGACCTGTCACTCGGTGAAGAGACACTTCTGGACGATCAAAATGCGCTCGTTCGATTGTCAATCCTTGGCGGAAGTACGCGAGAAATCGCGGTGATTCACGACCTTCTGATTCCCGTTGAAGAATTGTTGCGGATATCTGGGAATCGAGTTCAGCCGCTCGGAGGGCAGCCGCTCCAGAGACCGTCGAGTCACAGCTGTTGCCGATCCAGAAGTGAATCGTTCGAACTGTGTTGTTACCTTTCAAATCCTTCAGCTGTTGAGTTTTTTTATTATTGTCATTAAATTATTAAATTAATATCGAATTATCAATTAACTTAACAATACCCACAGGTATTCCAGTATAGGGGAGACCTCCATCCTTCGGAGAGACCGCATAAATCAGGTACGCAGATTCTGATAGAAAGGTACCCATTTTATTTCGAGGAATCGTTATCGCTCGAAGACCCTTGGAATAAATAATTCAGGTAAACAAAAAATATTATTTTTTACACACATAAATTTCGCGTGGATATCCATCCAATTTTTAAGTGATAAATAATATTCAGGAGTTGGAAGGATACAAGCAGAATATGACTGCAAAAAAAATATTATTAATTGTCTACTCCCAGTTAATTTAGTTTATCAATCCAATAAAAATTCACATCACCATGTAAAATACAATTTAAATGTTCAACTAGCAGTGCAATCGTTTATGAATTTCCATAGATAACTAAAAATATGAAAATTTATGGATTGACTTGAAGCCAAGCCATTGGTGATGATTTACGGTTTTTTTCAACGAGCAGAAAACACCGGAGAGTTCTTCTACATATTCGAAAAAAAAAT